AGTATTTCCATTTCTTTAACAGTCGGAAACGAAAATACCGATGCTCGGTTCTCCATCTCGAGTCATAATTTCCCCGTCATTTGGATCACACCTTTTGAAACCCATATTCTGGGTTTATACAGTAATAATTTAAATATGAAGTTGTCGATAACTTCGCCGCAAAATGGAGCTCTAAAACCATCATAACATAAACTAAAGCAAGATGGCTGACGTACAGTCAGGTCACCGTATGTAAGGCTCCGTGGTTACAGCATTTATAACTCAAGAACGACTGGACCAATTTTAATTATCTCTAATTTATTGGATTCCCCTTCGCCCCGCAGAATAACTATTAAACTATCGAGAAAAGACACTAGATGGCGCTTTAGAACAAAATTAAATATTTATGTCACCCGCAACAGTCAACAGGAGTTTTTGAATAAGGCGTTCGAGGGTATTAAAAACTATAACTTTGAGGCCGAAGACCTCAAAGAAACGTTTCTCACACCGTAGTCTATACGATGAGATGCTTTTAACATTCTATTAAATTTTTGCTGGGGGGAGGGGAAGACAAGGGGAGACAAAGAGACAGAAAGGGAGATGTAGGGTAGAACCACATCCGTCGGGTTCCGCTAGTGCTACGAGAAATTCCCCAAATTTTCAGATTAAAAAAAGGAAAAAGTCAAGCATTGAACATATTTACGGAAATAAAATATTTTATTACGCAAGGCTACGAGGCCCTTTCAAAATTTTCAGAATGTCCTCAACCCCCTTACCTTCTCTGTAAGAACGCCTAGGGTTATCATGAACAGAATATCTTGTTTTATGAAACATGTGAATGAAAATAACGAAAGAAATTTAAGATATGACATCATGTTCAACTGGGTGTGGAAGACTCTAATGCAACACGTCAAAAGAATCTATAACCAAGCTGAAATGTGTAAATAGGTTATGGCTACAGTGATCTGACTAATGTCACGGTCCCTCGAATTTAAAACATCTTTTAAATTTTGGTAGTACCTTACAGGAAACCCAAAGGGCATTTTCAAAACTTTCTCAAAAATAGCTCCAAAAAAATTATTATTTTTGCTTGAATAGAGCAACGAGCGCTGGTCATATTTTCATAGACACCTCTTAGTTCCGAAAATTGCTGAAGTTTAAAATTATCTGCATTCCCTTCTACAGAGTTGTCTACAATATTCACTTCAGTGACATGACAGTCTGACACGGCCTCTTTCCGGCGTATGACGACAATTTCATATTAGGGGTTTTCCTGTGTTTGATTAGTGCGACCGGTACATAATAATTTCACTTTTAGCATTACTCTTGCTTTATAGAAAATTTACTTTTAACACTTCATTGTAATTTTTTTTTTTGAAATTTTAACTTGATTATGGCGACAACCAATTCCCGACGCTATAGTCATGACGAGGCTCATAAAACAAAGAGAGGTCTTGCAATTGTCTGACTATATGGGGACTCCTTTCCTTCAAGACTACCTTTAAAAATACCTAAAATTGAGGCTTATTACTTCAGATCAATATATCTAAAATAGAGGTATTTTATTTATATTAGAAACAACACATAATTCTAAAAACAAAAGGGGGTTTGATGATTTTATTGGGATTTATATGAATACTTTCCACATAAAAAACAAACATTTGTCATAAAAAGTTGCAAATCATGATGGTAAGGGAGTCTTTTCAATAATTTAAGTATAAACTGTTAAAACATAGGTACAAAATATTTTTCAATTACATTTTGGCGTGAATTTCGAATTTTTAAACTGATAAAGTTAATGTTAATTTTTTTACTATCGTCCACATCATATGTTATGAGAAACTTTCTAGGTAAAAAACTAGTGGTACTACAACAGCACATACTTTCTCGCAATATTATAATGGTATCGTTATGTACGACGAAACCCCCATATGCTTCATTGATGTTAAACATAAATTACGAGACGTTTACAAAATAATATTCATGATTTTTTTAAAGAGCTAATCGTGTACAACAGACTTTGTGTGACGCAAAAATCTCTATCTGCAACTTTCTAAAAATCGAAGATTTTAACAAAAGTGAGACCTATAGAATTCTCTTAATCGTTTTTTCACTATTCATTTACAAAATTTAACAAAATAAATTAGAGCCATTTTTTGAAAATGTCCGGGGGTTTCATGTAAAAATCCAAAATTAAAATATCGGTTTTAAATTCCAGACGCCGCAACAACAGCCAGACCGATTGGAGAATATCAATTTTGGAGAATGTCGGTGGAACGATTTATGAACTGGCGTTGTGCACAGACAGACACACGCACAGACAGACTGACGTTTTGCTGTCGATCGATTTTTCGGTATGAAGGACACAAAATGGATTCTGGCTACACCACGTGTTAGAGATATTTTTCTATATTTAGCAACTAAATTTATCAACTTTTTCCTTAGCAGGAGAAGGCAATGAGAGTTTTTGTGTCGAAAATTCGCCGTTTCCCGGCGCACGATTTCAATACTGTTAGAACATGAAAACTGAAACTGCACTCATATGTTATCACTTCGAAAATCAATTTCAAAAATGTATTTTTTTCTTGTTTGCATTTCATTAATTCCACGAAAAATCATTGATTATCACCATGTTTGTGGCATGCGTGCAATTAAAAGTCCACAACAGCCAATCAGAACTCAAGAGAACTAAACGAAATCGTTTAATTATGTATCGGTAACACAGACATAGCCAAAGTATTCCAGACGCCCATAAACATGAACAAAAATGTACATCACAGATTACTACACCAAAAACATAATCAATAAACGGGAGAAAGAGAATTATAAACGAATAATTATTACTACTTCTTTGACAATCATGTTCATATTTGTTGTGCAATAAGTTAAATTCGAAATTATTACCCTACTTATACTTGTCATCAATCATCCTAACCCAGAAGTCGCTTTATGTTATTGCACAGTTATGTTTAATTCACTTATTTGATATTTAACATGAATTGCATGTAAAACATGTGTTACGTGCAAAACATTTGTCCTTAGCATATTACAAATATAAAATATGTAATCATCAGTTGTATTTACCGGCCTGAAAAGTACACCAGCAAAACATGTGAGTCAGAACAGAATTGTCTTTCTCATTTGTATGATTTACACGCGTTGTTCTCTCATCAATGATCTTTCTTTTCGTACGAAGTAATTTTCTTATGGCTTTCTCAGCTTCTTCTAATATTTCAACCGGAATATGTTAAATATTTTCCATTTTCAAACGTTTCTTTTTTCTAATTTCATACATTATTCTCTAAGACACTAAAGTGATCATAAATATACTCTGCAAAACCAACTAAAATCGGTTTGTTCAGAACCTATATGACGTCATCAGATACATATATCAAATGGTAACAAATGATTAAATTTCTCAAAATTAAAATTATTATTTAATGGGAACGAAACATGTGTTGAAAGGTGTATAATTGCACTCATAGTAAATAAGAAAACTCGCTTCTATTGTCGCTGGTTTTCTTGAACATACCATTCATTCAATTATACCCCTCTTTGTACACTCGTTTCTTTAATCACTATAATTTATTGAAGTGTGTGTGATATCTTTTGGAAAATTATTTTGAGTGGTTTTCTTCAGCAACATTTTTACTGCTGCAGGCTATCAGTGTTATTTATATAGATTCATGAAGTAATGTACAATTTTGGGTAAAAATTATCGGGTGGCCATTACCACACAGAGAACCTAAGCACATGGTAAATCGGAAGTTGACGGTGGCACGGTTCTTTTGACACGAAAAATTTCGTTCACCAGGAAGGAGCCGGCTCTCAGTGACGCGAACAGACAAATGTATGAAACAAGTCCTCCCAGAAATTATTTTTATAGGCCACGCAATTTTACGACTGACGCATTTTGGCACCAAATGGTCGAAGGAGCCAAAGGGCCTTCCGGCCATCGCCCTCGCCCCCTGGCGCGCGCCTCCGCTCTCGTCCCCGCGCCCACTCTCCCTCACTACACCTCCCTCCCTCCCTCACTCTGAAGAGAATTGCTTTTAAAGGGAGTAGAATTACACGAACAACAATGAACCATAATACTAACACGGGAAATAATAAATTATTAAAGGGTACCGAATAAACGTCAACTTCCCATCAACCAAGCGCTTTAGTTTTCGTATGTTTTAATTCACCTTCAATTTTAAGGGGAGAGAGTACCATGTATTAGCCTACGTTAAATTTACTATTATTGATGTACCTTTTCTACAAAATGGTTAACTATAAAAATTATATTTCACACATTTAAAGACGCAGTCATTGTTATTATTTTGACGTTTTTTGAGTTGATTAAAATTACTTTTTTTTCATTCTAACTTTGACCTTATTTTTTCAGATTGTTTGAATAAACATTGATTGATCTATTTTTAATTATTAAAGAATATTTATTTGAAAATGTAATTTTATTGCCAATACTATAATGAATGTATCCTGTAAATGTTAATAAATTGTGAACAATAGTTTCTGAGAAAAAGTACATTAATTGCACAAGAAATTAATATCCAGGAAACTTGCCACTGTTCTATTATAACATTCCTCACTAATTTCTGGATCATCTTTGTCAGCAGAAAAGACCAATGCTCGCAATGTATGAACAAGCGTATGTTCTAATATCTCATTAACAACCCACCATGCGTTCAAAATTACGAAAAGTGGGCAGTGGGCAACACTTTAACGAAGTGTCAAAAAAGGGGAGTGGCTCCAGCGCACTAGCACATTTAAATGAAAAGTAAAGGAATTTCCAAGCGTCCTAGAAGAGAAATGTTAATATATTTGAAAATAGTTGAAAATATCTGAACTAGTTATTTAGCCAAAAAAGAAAATCGATATTTTAACCCATTAATGTTGCTCTCCACTTAATACATTTTATAAACATTCTGGGGAATTATGTGCCACCAATACATTCCTCATATGAATGAAAATGAAAAAAATGAATTTTATTCAATCTCGTGGATTACCTTTGTTCACAGAATCGGGGACCTTCTTGGCGCTGGATTTGGGAGGAGCTGATTTCCGAGTAATTATGGTGCGACTGCATAAGAAGCGCTTCGACATGAAATCGAAGGCTTATCTTATTCCGAAATTAATGAAATCTGGACCCGGGAGCTCGGTAATGTTTTGTTTTAATTAGGATAAGCGAAACCAGTACTCGACGTGTGTAATTTTTGTATCCATTTTGATGGCACTCAGCAAGTGCTATGGTACTTTGTAAATTGGAATAAGACCTGTGACTGTCCGGGTTCGAATTCTGATGACATATCCTTTTATTGGTGCATTTTAGACGTAGCTAACTTGTAAATGAGTACTTATCATGACATATAGGTTATAGAAATGGATTGTTATTCGGTATTTTTTGCCATTTTTCAATTTTAGGTTACGTATTTTTTGGACATTTGCGACATTTTTGTCATTTTAACACATTATTTTCCTTTTCATGTTTTTGTAAGCGGATGTTTCATGAATTTACAATGACATACTAAAATAAAGTTTTTATTGTATCATTTGTTCATGACGAATTTCACTTCTTCAGTTGAGTCTGTTTTTCAAAATCTCAAAATCAAAAAATCCATTCAATGAGTAAACATTTTCATACAAAATTTTGAGTATTTATTAAAAAACGAAGTCTTCTCCTTATTTTCAGTCATTTTATACGTCATTTCCCTCTTTCATAGTCATTTTATAGGTAATTTTCACAGAATTTCTAGGTCATCAGAATTCGACCTCTGCTAACAATACGATTTGACCACGAGTCCTGATGAGCGAAGATAAAAACGGTCTTAATGCTAATTCAATGTTTGGTAAACGAAAGTTTGTTTCTTTTATTTCGACCTCTTCTGTACATTCGAAAAACTCTCCACCAAACATGTTTCCGTGATGAACAATGAACCTGTGACGATTTCGTCTCGTCCTCGACTCGTCCCTCGTCCGCTGCAGACGTCCCGCGCACAGCCGTCGCCAGGGCCACGCGTCGGGCGGGGGACCCGACCCCTCGCGCGCCTCCCTCGCAGCCCCTCGGCGGTCGCCGCCCTGCTCTGGCCAAGACGCGCTGATCCGCTCGCCAGTCAAGGGGCGCGCAGTCATTGCAGAAGGCTTCCTCCCGCGATCGACCTCTGCTACTTCTCTTGCTGTCTACTTGCGGGCCAGAAAATATATACCCGCACGCCGCCTCTGCCGGGGGGGGGGGCGAGATCAGCTTGTGCCGCTGGCGCTGGCGAGGCGAGGCTCTACAGAACAGGAAGATCACAAAACGCAATACAGTAGACAGCCAGGTTATTTATTTCACGGTCGTACAGAATAACACCTCCCGGTGCGTGCCCGCCCTGGCATGTGTGGCGTCCCGTGATGTGAAGGCACGACGCGGCACCGGGCCGTGAGGTATCCTGCTGGAAAGTCGGTGCGCTCAACGCGCCCAGGTAGGGTCCAGACGGGAGTCGCGCAGAAGAGCTGGTGAACGGGCGAGTCCTCTGTTTTCGGACCCGCCTACTGAACACAGCGGGGTTATTTTTTCGGAGCTCCCGATCGCTTCTAGTATTCATTGAGGGAACCGTGACAAGTGCTACGTACGTCCACGATGCGTCACTTCTGAGCTAGTAACACCCGCGCACCTTTTCGTAACCAACGGATTAAAGAAATATGGGTAGAGTGGGGTATTAGTTTCAAAGTCGGCCACTAGAGTATTTGGCATAATGCAAACCTCAGGAAAGTCAAAGTCAAACCTGTTACTGGACGGGAAGTAATTCAATACTAAGATTTGTACTCTACATATTTAGAACATTTTCATTACAACTTAATTAACTTTTGCTCTCATACATCTTTGACAGAAATGTTCTGTCTCTTATTCATATTTAAAATTGCCCTTCGCATTTTGTAAAGCATGACTAATCAATTTCTTCTGATCAACTCAGTCAGTCTAAATAGTAACTAACAAGACATACCCTTTTTAATAACTTAAAATACAGTAATCTACCTTTCATTCTAAGATCTGTAGAAAGTTGACGGCAAGAGTAAGTAAAAAATATAATTATATAATGATAAATCGATATTAGTCTGATAAATTGATTATCTTGAATGTTACGTACCTTTCTTTTTCACGCATTTCTGGTGATTCTAAAAGGTCATTAGCACTTCTTGTCTTAATGTGGATTATCTTACATACAGTGGAAATAGTTGCTTCCATGTACGCAGAATCGTGTTACAATACGTTACAATCAAAGCTTACACCAAATCCTTATTTTTTTCCAATTCACATCCATTCGCAATCTTCTCGGTAATTGTTAGAACTCGCTGTATAAGCAGCATTTTAGTTCACACCAGTATTGCACACGCCTGCGATCTTGGATACGATTCATGTTTGTTTTCTTTTAACAATCCTTTAATTCAGTCGCTTCTGTACACCCGAAAATTCTACACCAACCATCTTTCCGGAACAATAAACCTCTGACGATGTAGTGGCACGATTCGACCCTCGTCTCCTGTCGCGGAGCAGCGCGGGAAGCGACGCACCCACTAACGTTTCAGTCGGTTGCAAAGTGCCTCCCGAACTGCATGCCTACGGCCACTCTCAAACACGCTTTGTGCGTTTCTCTACAACTGTCACTACAAAACAGTTATTATGTGTCCACAGAGAATTTTCCGTATGACAATGCACTGTAATATGCGCCGCTCTAAGTTCGTGCTAAATGTTACCCACGTAAGTCATCGTATCGTACACCAAAGGCAGCCACGTTGACATGTCGCTGTTAGACATGCAATTGCGCATTCTTCCACAACCCTGCAACAATCCCACTAAAGAGGTTATCATAAATTCTTGTGCCACATTGCGTTGTAGCAGACATCATGCTGAGCGCTCGTGTAGGTGCATTCTCCTGGCGTAAGCTGTTCTCTTAACACGTGGTGCGTGTGGCCATAACAGAAGCAGCTGCCGTCACATGCCTGTTGTGCAGCGGTGTCCGCTTCCTTGGCAATCGAGTATTTTCTGCACTTGCCATACAAATTCCCGGCCTCTAGTTGCCACTAGTGCTAGGCAGCCATCACCACTTCTTCTCTGGAGATAGTTCACAACACGTGTACCTTGAGGTGGTTTGTACGAACTATCAATCAGAAAAGACCAAGATAATCGTTTGCAACGCTCAATGTTAGTTCTATCACTGAAAATGATTGATGATGTAATGCGACATTAGAAAAGATATTTTGTCTAATTGATGAAATTTCTCATTTTCACGAACTTGATACTTTTTTCAAATGTATCATTTTACAACAGGCTCACCCATCGTGCTTGATTCAAGGCACTGTTGGGGCGACATCCTGCCCTCACCACTCTCCAGCGTTTGTTTTGTATCCCCGAGAAGAAGCTGTAATAGTTAGTACTGAAAACCTTGCAAACAAAACCATCATAAGCAGAAAGACGTTGCCTAAAAGCTTAAGTTATTTCACTACCTTATCCGGTAACTAGTACCACGAAAACAAGATGTATTCATTACCTGGAATACTGAGAGAACAACTTGAGTCAAACCAGTCATGATGAACCAACGGTGGTAGCATACCGCTTTAAAGACCTAGCTTTCCAGAGCTGAGATTAAAGCAAAGTATATTATACCGAAAACGTAAGATAAACTCCTTTGTTTTTTTACTTTTAACAGAATCAGAACCTTTCATATATTCTATTTAACATGATGAAATCCGTTTAATTGTACGATCTTTCGTTTCGTTTTTGTTTGGATATTTATGTAGCATTGCGTTGTAACCACGCCCCTTTTCGAACATCAGTCGCCTCATTGTACATCTGTAGGCGCAACCGCATCGTTTTCTAAATGTTCTGTGAATTAATGCTTGTTGTGACCAACAGATATCACTCTACGACCTCAGTTATGAGTGCTGCACTCTCTTTAGTCGCCAAATCACTGAAGAGCCAAGAAGAGTTTTCCTGGGGCCACTCTGTAGCAATTCTGGACGTGTGGATTGTCGCATTGTCCTGCCAATATCGCCCAAGTCCGTGAGGATGCACTATGGACATGAATGGGAGCAGGTGATGCGAAGTGTCAAGGTTTTGTCAGTCGCAACGACCTAATTTTTCTGATTAATTATCTTTGAAAACAGCTTCTTGGTGAGAAAAGGCCTTTCTTCTTCAGTTCGCCCCCTCCCTGAAGAGTCATAAACAAACAGTCTTCAAGAAGCCCCTGAGCGAACCCAGCGCACAGGCCGACCCAGCTGCACCGTTTTCTGATCTTTTCTGTCCACGCGCCTCAGTGCGAGGAGGCCCTTAAAGGACCAGACCATACCCAATAATGGTCATCTTCCGCCTTGTGTCTCTCTCCGAAGGCGCCACGTGTTTGTCGCCCAGACCCACCGATCGCAGCCGGCGAACGACGCAGCACTGCGTGCAGAAACATGTACTAATTTGGCATGGAATTTATTTACACACGCTCCGGAATGCGCCGCCGCGCACTCGGAAACCCTTCCACAAATCACGGAAGAAGAGGTTTTGATGAGACCCCCGAGGCAGCACAGCGCTTCTCACAAGCAGACCACACCAGACGCCAGCCACCCCGGGAGTGCAGTGACCCGAGGCGATAGCCAATAAAAAAGAGGAATCGTTGGAGTATTCTAGAAGCTCGACCACATGAACCATCGGTAGCAAATCCTGGTTGTTGGCGCCGATGTTGTCCCGCGCCCATGCAATGCAAAATTCGAATTCGATCGCAGGGCAAAATTATATGGGAACGAGGCTTCGCGCGGGAGACTGAGTGCACGAGGCAGGAGCCCAAGAGAACGGCACAAGTTGCCAAGAGAAACATTTCGAGAGAACGGCAGAAGTCGCCGAGAGAGACCCTTCGATCAGAACACAGAATGTCGCCGAGAATTGCTTTCGGGAAATGAGTCGACAACATTGATGGCAGCAGAGTAGCGAGCGTCCGTGGCAACAGCCAAATTCCACCATCATCAAAAGCAATAGCCGCCTCGCTGGTTCGCCGCTTCGACGTCTGATTCAGCACCGCGACTGTGGCATCGCCCCGCGCATCTGTAACACCGCCGCACGACAGAAAGAGAATCCGTCCTAGCAACTCTCCCGTCATCCGACCTTCAGGTGATGGACTTCTGAAGAGCCAGCGCGCCGCCTGCTCGCCTACCAGTGACGGGCTTCCTCCCTGGCGGCTCCTCGCACAAGCGTTTTTGCAATCACGAGTCGAGACACAGTAAATTCAGTAAAGTTATTAGAAAATTAACGAAGGAACTAGATAGAAGAAGAAGAAGCAAAAAAGAATGCATGATAATTCCAATTTGTTTGTTTGGAGAAAACAATTAATGAAGAAAAAGAAAATTGTACTGTACCCATCCCGATCAGGTTGTTGTCCAGTTTCCCTGATCCATTGAGCAAATGAGATGACCCCTTGTTTTGCTTCTGGAAGTAAATGTAGCTTCACTACGCGCACGTTTTGTTGAACTCTCCTTTTGCTTGTAATGGTAAGAGTAGAGGTAAGGGCAAGTTACTATTTTGTTAGCTATGCCGAAAAATCAAAGCTGCAGTTCGTATACCGTTGCAAATAAGTTTTCTATAACTCGGGAACAAAAATGTCTAGTTTTTCATATGTTGCTAATCTCGCGGTTTTAAATTTTTTATTAAATTTATTTTTAACTTTTACTCATTTTTCAACTATTTATAGTTAAAATGACGGGAAGGGATTCTGGAATTCAAGAAAACGTGCGCAGATTATCTTTTCCCCCCTACGTCACATACAGTTTTTACTGTTTTTTGACTGAATAAATCTACTGTAAAGCCAATATACGAGTAAGAGTAGTTAGAACATTTTGACAATAAACTGAGGGCTTCCTTCAGGGCCTACGTTGGGCAAAATGTTTGATTTTCAGTCACTAGAGCATGTTGAGCACACCTGATTCCTAATTAACGGAAACTTTCCCAGAGAGTCTTCACCTCAATGATATCTCACCGGGAGCTAATCCCACAAAGATTTTGGACGTCGTCGAAAACCGGCGTGACGGGTAAGTCTGTCGACTCGCCTGCCAAAATACGCCTGGCGCCCAACACGGTCAGCAACCACGAGGGGGGTTGTTACAGTGATCAGACAGGACGCTTACGTACGTGTCACTTGTCAGTGTCGTATGTAGACGCATCAGGAGTCCCGTATAAGTACAAATGCACTCGCCCCATACCATCACAGAGCCTCCACCAGCTTCAACAGTCCCTTGTTGTCATGCAGGGTCCATGGATTCATGAGGTTGTCGCCTTACTCGTACATGCCCATGTGCTCGAATCAGTGTGAAGAGAGACTCAATAGACTAAGCAACGAGTTCCCAGTCAGCAACATACCAATGTCAGTGTTGATGGACCCAGGCGGGGCATAAACCATTGTGTCGTGCAATCATCAAGGATATACGAGCGGGCCTTCGGCTCCGAAACCCTATATCGAAATGCCTCGTTGAATAGTTTGCACACTGTCGGTCCCGTTGCACAATCTTTTTGCGGCTGCAGTGATGCCGGAGGTTGGATGTTATACGATATTCACGGTACATTCGTTAAATGGTCGTACGGGAAAATTCAAATTTCATCGCGACCTCGGAGATGCTGTGCCCTTTATCTCTTGCACCGACTATAAGACCACGTTGAAACTCACTTTAGTCGTGATAACCTGCCATTGTAGCAGCTTTAACCGATATGCATCTGTGCCAGACTCTGCTTGTCTTGTGTTTAGTTATGTAAGGCTGCGGAACATCGATTATCATACACGTTTTGGGATTCCCTGATATGGAAAAAGTGTTTTTTCAAAACGTCCGTCTGTCTGTCTGAACACCACTAACGCCTAAACCATGCGTAGGAATTTTTTCCAAATCGAAGAATCCCCTGTCCAACTGGCTCGAGTCAATGCTTCTAGATTTTGAAAACGTTTTTTTAAAATTTGGGGGTTCTTTACATAAAGCCCTCCGAACATTTTCAAAATTTCCTCAAAAACGGCTCCAATTTTTTTCATTAAATTTCTTGTAAGAATAGAGTAAAATATACTTTTAAAGGTGGTCTAGGTCCGATTTCCATGGTTAACACTGAATTTTTGATAATTGCAAAAGTTTGGATGATTTTCGGCGTCTTCCTACAACAAAATTGAAGATAGAGATGTTTATTTTAAATAAAATTTGTTTTACATAGTGAGTTCTTTCATTTAGATCATGTTACTTTCTTTTGAAAATTTTAGTACTTTTCGCACAATATTGCATGCAATATGTGCAATTTAAAAAAATACAAAAACAATTTTTTTCAAAAATGATTTCAATTTTTCTTTAAACTTATAGTAGAGAAAGTGCTAAATGTACTTTATAAGATTACACAAACGCCATATTGTTCTATTTACTTGTTTTTTAATCCTAGATTACGAAGACAACCTGTATCAAGCGTTTTTGCAAGGGCGTGGTCTGACAGAATACTTTGGGTAAAATAAAGAAAAACTCATTTTTACAATGAAACATTAAATATAATGGATTGAACATGTATTATTCAGAGTTACAAAATACATTTTAACGGTCTTTGTAGATTCACCTAAATGACTTTCACAGCAGATACTTGCTTGGTGGCTTTTAAGAAGCGTCCGCAAAAGTATCTCGTCATGCGACCTTTCTTATGATCGCCGTTGTCCCATTATGATTCAGAACAAAACTTAAAAGCTACAAATTAAGAAGTTCGTATTCATTATTCGCAATATTAGCCAATATCTTACCAAAAATATCACTAACGTAATTACAAATGCTTAAAATACTTGACGACGCATGCGAAAATTGCCTCTATCGAAAATAGGCACGCGCACAAGGTTACATGTAAAGGCACCAAGAGTTCCAGAAACGGGGACTGAGGGGAAGGGTGTGGGGGAAGCTTTTGGCCCTAGTTGCGTCGTCTGACGCCTTCGTAATCTAGGTTTAAGGTTCTTTTGAGCTGTAACTGCACACGACAGGATGAAAGGGTTTTAGCGCTGTTCTAAATTTGTCAGGACAACATCTATGTCAGGATGTCTATCTATTGAACAGTTTTCTGACGAAAACATTTCTGCCGTTTTTTCGCGCAGCATTACATCACTTTCCCTCTGCCGCGGTAGCGATAGTGAGAAAATAATACTACCTAAAACACTTTCACCTTTACGAAAAATTCAGTTTTACGAACGAATGGCAAGACTAATGAAAACCACTTGCATTTGCATTTTCGCAGTAAAATATTATTCAAACATTTAGTATACCGCCTTGACACAATTGCAATTGTTTACATACGCGAAAAAATGTTTAACCTGGAAGAGAAAGTAAAAGTATAGGATTCTTTTTGTTGATATTATGCATTTTACAAATTTTAACAATTATTTTCGATTGAGAACAGGTGACCGTGACAATTTAATGCCTGTCATTTGTCGTTTGAAAAAAAACAATACATTTTGTATAAAAACAGTGCGCAGATTTAAAAATGTATTAGGATGTGTGTTAGGGCCAAGTAAAATACTTACAAAGATGACACATTTAAATCCAACTCCTGAGGTACAGATCAAATTTCCTTGTGAATGCAATTATGAAGCTAAGAAAAATTATTTAAGCCTTCAGTGACAATACTTGAATATTTACAGCTCGCTGATTTAGTTAAGGATTTGCTCATAGAAGATGATGTTCTTAAAAAGATGATGGACGTATATCAATCAGAAATCAGACTTGGATTGAGTGCAGATACCGTTGATCAATCTTCGTTAAAATGTTACGTTACTTATGTGCAAGATCTTCCTTCAGGGAACGGTAATGATGCGTTTTATTTTGAAAAAGTATTACACTGCAAATATTTGCCATGTTTTCTCAATATTTGTGAAGTTGATTTCGGGAAATCTTTACAGTAAGTAGAACTTGAGCTCAAACTATTTCTTGACGGAGACGATCTTTCAAGTGTCCTTTGAGAATATTCTATCAGGTATATGTAGTACATTATGTAAAAAAATGTGAATATTACTTGGTGTAAAACATTGCACCATGCAAAACTAAAATAGCCTCGTTTGCATTGAAAGAATTTCCTGTATATCATTCTATCGTACAATAATTTCAACTGTTTTAATTTTAAAGTAGTTTTTGTGCAACCGAAGTAATTTTGGAATGCCTGAAAGAAAGGGACCGTTAAAAACAACATGTGAAGTACTTCAACATTAAATTTTGTACAATAATCAGGTTACTCATACAAATACAGTTTATATAACACAATATAAACACATTTAAATATTGCTGATTTTTATTACTAAGGACTGATAGAATAGTCATGTATTAAAAATATCACTATTTTTCCAACGCTTTTAAACCATGATAGTTCCTTAGTATTTCCAAGAGTATTTGACTGATTTGTCTCTGTATTTTTAAATTGAAAATACGTAAGCAAGCAAAACCAAAGCGTTATAATTTGTAACTTTCATTGTGCAGAAAGAGGAAAATTCCTGGCTCTTGATCTGGGAGGAACCAACTTTCGAGTACTTCTTGTGTCAATGACGAGACGACATTTTGACATGAGAGCAAGGGTATATATTATTCCGAAGGACATAATGACTTCTAGCGGCGCCCAGGTGAGGCACATCTGCGTATTGCAGAGAAATTGTTGACATTCATTTAAAACTCTAATTACTTTCTAGAATGTAGTACACTGCATATCTGACAGTGTTACAGATGAATTCAATTTAATTTGGTTGCACTGAAAAACTTTGGGGGACAAACTCGGGCCTATATTCTGTTTCTCTAACTATGCACTGTCCACTAGGCATCACAAGGGATATTTTTCAGAATTTGGATAGTTTAAGTGCAGATACATATTTCATTCCCTTAATATCCTTTCTGACTTTTTATGAAGAAGTTGTGAACCACCTTTTCCGACGGAATTTTTTAAGATCCAAATTTGTCCTCGTGGAATGTCAAATTTATTAGAATGTTAATCTATTACTAACTTAATTATTTATCGCAAAAAAATTACTTGTCCGACACGTGCTGTGCCAGACATGTAAAAGGAACTCACTATTTTATGTTGTTCTAGAACTGCACATATCTAATAATTTCGCCAAGCATCGAAATATGGTTTCTTCTTTTTCCATATACCCCTGAAGAGTGGTTGGCGACTAATTAGAACGAATTTATTACAGGTTTACTGAGTAATTTTGAGTGATAGGTAAAAGACGAATAAATCATAATACAATTTTTTTCAGAAAAAGCAAATCACTGTTTATTTTTTCATTACACTCATATGAAACGACTCTTAGTAGCCAACTAACGTGACTCACGTCAGTAAGCTAGTGGAGTTATTTTGAGTCAGTTTTGCCATGTAATGATGGAAATAAAAACTCATTTGCTTCTCCGAAAAATATATATTTTGTGACTTATTCTTCTTTTACCTATGTCCTAGAATTATGAAATCGAGAAAGATAATTTAGATAATTAAATGGAATACGTGATAACTTGCTACGTCACATCCCTGGAAGAGAACTGCGCGTGATTCGAATCCATCGGCTGCAAAGAATAGTTCACCATTTGCAGCCGGCAGAATTCAGAATGGCGAAATACTAGGATGTAAGCATTCTTTATTGAATTTTAAGAATTTCAATCATTTTCAGGAAGTAGATTACCTAAAAATTTGCTGAAGAAGGAAACCATAAAAATACGTATTTTAACTAACGAGTCAGCATGAGAGCTGTTGAAAAACGAAGGCGTGATAATATCAATAATGACGTATTTACTGTGTACACACATTTAATTCGGGCATTTTGTTAAAGGTGTTTTTGTATAGAATTATTTTTGTTCTGTTACTCTCTTTAATGATTAGAGAAATTAAATCCAATAAAATATATTTGTAAACATAAACCAATGTAAAATTCAACAAATTAAAGACGCAAAAACACTTATAGTATCGTCAATTATAGCATTTTAAAATGATGCAAACATAGTTGACGTTTTTATGAGGTGTGTTGGTGGCACTGTCACCAAATAAGTTAGTTTACAAAGCTACATTATTATTTATATAAGAATAACTACACTAAATGAAAATACACGCTCACCAGTGGATAAGACAGTTTTAACGGTGTATGAATGAAGAGACAGTGTTCTGACTGAATTAAGTGAATGATCATTAATCACTTCAATGGATTTTACTTTTCCGTGTACGTACAAAGTAATATACGAAGTATTATACGTAGTATAGAAAAAGGTATGTAATACTACGGAAAATCGATTTAAAGATTACAACGGAAATACACGTTTTGGGGACCCTGATATCGAAAAAGTGTTGTTTATTTTCAAAACGTCCGTCCACCCGTCTCTCCGTCTATTAGTCAGTGAACACCGCAAGCGCCTAAAACACGTGCGATATTTCCCAAAATGGATATTCCCCGGTCGATCTGGCTCTACTGGTGGTGCCGCGATTTTGAAAATCTTTCTTTACAGTTTGGGTGTACTTAACATGAAGCTCACCGTACATTTTTAAAATTTTCTCAAAAACGGCTTCAAATTTTTTTCTTTAAATTTCTTGTAAAAATAGAGTAAAATGCACTTATTAAGGTGGCCTATGTCCGATTTTCACTGTTCTACCTAAAATTTGAATTTCTTCCTGCGGCTTCCTTTAACTACAAAATTAAAGATAGAGATTTTTCCTTGAAAGAAAGTGCTTCTCCATATTTAGTTATGTCAATAAAGAAATGTACACTTTTTTGAAAATTTTAATCGTTTTCGAGCACCATTGCGTGCAATATTTGCAATTTTAAAAAATTACGAAAAGATTTTTCTCAAAAATGGCTCCAATTTTATTTAAACGTGTGGTAGGGATAGCGCTTAATGCTTTCTATAAGATTACAAAAACGCCATATTTCTCTATTCTTTTGTTTTTTCAAAAACTACAAAAATATTATTTTTTACTTGTCTCTCATGTTGTTAAAATTTACATTATTGGCATTTGGTACACAATATTATATTTATGAGTAGATATGCTTTAATAACAGATAAAATGCTCAGATAAAATTTCTCGGAAACTCGACAGTTTTCTGTAAAAATGTTCTGAAAATTCCGCATTGTCAGAAAAACTCAGTTATTTTCTTGAAAATGACTCCAATTTTTTTCTTTCATTTCCAACAGATAGTGTTAATTGCACTGTTTAAGATGACCTGTAATTAACTTTGCTGTTTCTTTTGTTTTTTCAAAAATTACCAAATGTATTTTTTTGAAATATATCTGACTAAATATCTATGCACATTTCTAGCAGATTATAAACACTATTGCATTTGTGACTGAAAGTGCTTGAAATGACTTCAAATGATGTTTTTCGAAAACAATAGTTTTCTAGGAAAATAGGTTCAAATTTCGAATTTACAGTAGCGATTAAACGCCATTTCCTTAAAATCGGCTCCAAAATTTTCAGATAAAATTGTCATTATGGCGAGGGTTTACTGTTATTTAATATTAAAAAAATTCCTTCTACTATTAGGAAATTGAAATTTTTTAAAAAATGTACTTTGAGCGACGATGGATCGCAGCTGGCAAGAGTATGTGGCAAGTCCGAATCGCAAGCCGAGAGCAAAGGAAACAGAAAACTAATAGGGAGAGTCTGTGGCATTCTGTAGCACCAATAGTTACACATTTCGTACAGTTTTTCTGTACTGTAAAAATGTCTGCCCTGGATGTTACTATCTTTCCAGGAAGATATATTTGCTGCCATAAATTAGGGGTTAGGTGGGATTAATAGCCTTAATATTACAACACGTTTAGAAAACTGATTTTCTCCTTTAAACTTAATGGAATGATGATATCAATGGTTTTGATCAATCAACAAAACCTAGTTTTTCCAACTTCTGAGTTATCATTTCTTTCCTGTTGAATTCATTTAAATCATTGTTTCCATCATTTAATGACTTTTTCAATGACGATTTATCAATTTCTTTTTGGATTATGGTCTTCTACTACATACATTCTTTTATTGCTCAGTTTATAAATTTGTGTCCAAAAAAGTTCCAGAGTAAGAGGTATAAAATAATAAGAGAAACAAATAAAGTAAGACACAGAATTACCATTATGTCTGCTCCTTATGTTCTACCTCCTAATGCGCCTTATGTTTTGTAAGCAGACTAGTTAGACAACTCATTAAATGCAGATCTGTCGCAACCGAAAACTCGTCGTTTTCCAGAAAATTCCTATTGTTCGAACAGGTTCCTTCTGTGTAGTGAAATATAGAATATTACCGTGTAATATTTTAATTTTAAACGCAAGTACACGTCGTTATAGTTGAAATCTATGGGAAGTTTTTGCTTCTCATGCAAATTACTCTAAGTTATTTTTAGTTATGACAATTGAGAAGTGTTATGACACTTTTTGAAATAAATTTGAAAACAAATAAGCCAAGCAAATACAGCTTTCCTATCTAGATGCAATCTACAAGATCTCAAACTCAAAAATGAAACTCAAAAATGGGAAGAGAGGTGGTTGATAGTGCATTTTCTCAATGCGTTTATGACATTCTTCCATTAGCGTTAGTACTAATGGGAATTGTACATGTGAATGCTGAAGTATAGCGAGATGCTGATAAGAACTCACTCGTCTGAAGATTTGATTTCCATTATTATGATTCACAACAGTCTCAACTGAAGAATGAAACTTTGCACGTACATGAATTTTAATAATAATTAATTGATGATTAAAATTCTGAAGATAATTACAATAATTTGTGCCTAAGTAAGGTGGCAAAAAATGAGTACTAATATAAACTGAATAAAAATTCAAAACATTGTTTGAAACGCTCAAAAAACACAAGGAACAAAATGCTCTATAAATATGAATTTGTTTAGAACTGATACATTTGCGAAAACAACAATGAATGTTTACGTAAAAAATGACAGCTGTGATTCGTGACTGTCATTTTTCGTTTGTGAATATTATCAGTGTTTTTTGGCTAGAGGAGCTTAATTAAATTTTAAAACATGTTAAAAAACGAATACTGGGAATAGAAAACTTTAATCATCATCAAAATGGCTCACCTCACGCCCACTCCAGAGGTGAGCAGAGTACCGGAATTGACGCCTTGACTATTTGTTGATGTATCGACGACAGGCAGTTGCAGTTAATTACTTGTGGATGCATGTTCTAGCTTGCAGAGATGTGCAAGATACTTGACTTGGATAATGATACTCTTAAGAAGATGATGGAAGTTTATGAATCGGAAATTGGGCTTGGTCTAAGTGCTGACACAGTTGATCAATCTTCACTGAAATGTTACGTCACTTATGTGCAAGACATCCCAAAAGGCGATGGTAAATTGTAGTGTCTATCATCGTCACAGTTGAGGGCGTGAATTTAAAATTATATGCTATTCCGAATTTGAAATTGACATAAATTATACAATTTTACACTTAACGAATCATTTGATAAAATTCAAGATTAATGAATGATTTTTTCTCAATGGAATGTCTCAATTTATGTAGAGAGGCTTCAGTTTTCACGGCTAATAAATCTAAACAGTTTTCAACGTGAAATATAATATTAAAAACAATGGAGTGGCAATGGTGCAATTTTTGAATACTAAATTATGTAACTGATAATTTTGGTATGTGCAGAAAAAGGCCAGTTCCTGGCTCTCGATCTGGGAGGTACCAACTTTCGAGTGCTTGTTATTAAACTAGCGAGAACATACTTCGACATGAGAGCAAAAGTGTTTGCTGTTCCCCAGTCAATAATGACGGGACCTGGCAGTGAGGTGAGATTCATACTCTTATCTAAGAGGGAGAGTTAGCCATTCTGCATGCATCTTAGTCGTATGTAGCAATTATGCAAAATGACATAATTTCAAATAAATTGACAAAATATTGTATGATGTAAACATGTAAACATTTCTAACAAAATTTATGAAATTTAAAAACATTATGAATTTGTGTTAAGTGGGAACTAAAATGTACACAGTGTTAAATAATGTTTCTTCATTATTTTACTAAAAATATTATTACTTCAAAAAACACAAAGAAGTAGTTTAAGACAAGTAAATATTTACGACAATGTATAATTCAAAACAGATTTGTTTCTTCATTATTTTACTAAAAATGTTATTACTTCAAAAAACACAAGGAAATAGTTTTAGACAAGTAAATATTTACGACAATGTATAATTCAAAACAGATTTGTATCGAAACATACTTTGACGAAATTTGAAATGTTTATAAAAACAATATGATTGTTGCATATCAAAACTATTTCTTTCGATTTCCGTAATATTAAGTTAGGTTGTCTTCTTTCATTGCGACAGTAAATTATGAAATATTTAGTTATTGCAATATTTCCTATTAATAGAGTTAATGCTTGTATTGATATGTGACCTATGGGAAAGAAATACTTTTTGTGCGCGTTTTCTTAACTTACAGAAGCCATATGTGACTAATTTACTAGACATAACTGAATTCTGAATAAAGGTACCAACAAAACGATGTTAGCGACATTAGAAATGTAAAAATGTCTGCTCGCTAGTAATACAAAAATTATTTACATCAGCAAACGAAATTCATATTTTATTTTATAGAATCGTGAAGTGAAATATTTATCATACTTAACTGAACTATAAGTTTTCCTCCTACCCATAATTTGCTATGGACAGGTGTCGGTTTTATGCAGTTTATAAGAAACTACCGGTACAAAAACGCTAAGTGTACTACTGCTGAATAGGGAATTACCTCCCATCCAAGAGATTTAAGACTAAAAATGATGCGTTGAAGTTATCGCGATAACTGACAACACAACTATTTTCTTGAAAAAGAATTCCTGTATTAAGTTTTCGGATTTAGTTGCTGGAAAGGCGCTGTGACAGGTCTGTGGCAGCTGTTCCGTGAACTTAGGAATGTGAAGTGCGCCGCAGGCAGAGGTCTTGGTGGTACTTGGTATGCGCTCGTGCGTGCAGAGAAGACGTAAAGCCTTGTATCTTTGGTTTTCATGTTATAATATCAGGCTATCTGGGAGTTAAATGAAGCCAAGAGAATTAAAAATGACACAATGTTTTGAGAGTTTCAAAGTGGCCGATGATCATCTACGATGCATTCTGAAGAAGTAGAAGAATCGTTGGTCATACTAGCTTCATGACTTCTTTTCTAACTTTCATGATTTCTTTTCTGTCTTTAAACGTGCTGATATAATTACCCCGTTGGGTATTATCATTGATTAACACATCCTCCATTAAAAACTTACATTTTTCTGAAATATAGATCTGATATCTGTACGTTTTACAGACTTGGTGGCAATTGTGAGAAAATAACTGAAGAGGTATCACGAATTTTATGAAAATCGCTAATTTGAAGTAGATAACTGATGACATAATGTTTAATAACTCTTAAGCATAAACTTTTGAAATAATCTTATTTGACTTCCCAAAAAATTTACAAAAAAGGAAACATACTCAAGAACGAATTAAAAAGAATTATGAATCCTCTACGACGAAAAGTTAATCGTATTTCCATAGAACGGTAGTATTTCGACCATATAAATAAGAATGGATAAAATTACACTTACGAGCTATGTATTTGACATAATATGTCAAATATTATATATATATATATATATATAAACATATATGACATATATGTTTAATATCAAAACAACTCTCCTCAGCAGTAATTGGGGGTTCTTACAACAAAACCCCTGTGACATATTGAAAATCTTCTGGAAAAATTTGCTCCTTTAGAACAGAGTGCGTTTATAAATATCGTACAGATCTGACTTTTATTAAATTCTATGACGTTTAGAAAATACCAAAAATATTTTGATTTAAATCAGGAAGGGTTGTTGTTTAGAAAGAATTTTGAGCTTCCTTACTCAAACAAATTTCGCTATTTTCGCATTCAATGAAAGGTAGTGGGCCTCAGATGATCGCCTTTCATTATTTTTTGTTTTATTGGCGGTTCCGCCAACTGCTGAGATCATTAGTCCCGCAAGTGTAGTGCTTTTTTGTCGCGGCGCCGACCTCTTGCAGCAGCAGGGGCACCGCCCAACCGGGACATGCTCCGTGCTCCCGACGGGTCTCCCTACAAGTGGGAAACGGTTTCACATATGAGAGGAGGAGTGTGTATGTAAGGAGAGAGGATTGAGCGATCGCGTGCGGTTGAGATCTGTTTGTTGTCTGTGGCCCGTGTACTGCTCTGGCATTCACCTGGCATTGAAAACTACCGATCAGAGCAGCCGACCGCCATAAATCTCCTCCATACAACGGCTGAACTCGACACATCTAGCTAACATCGAAAATCCTGCCTCTGTTGGGATTCGAACCGTACGACCTTCTGATCAAAGGCCCTGCAGTATCATAAGTAGATGCCCTGAGATACCTTTGCCGGTCTTTATATTATTAAACAGTTGTATAGTTTAAAAGCTAAATTTTAGTAAAGTCATAAAATTAATAGAATTCACGTTTATCTACCCTCATTTGTTCATTATTTCATTGTATCAGTTGCAATCGACCTACTGAAAGCATTCGACATTTCCTCATCGAGAAAACATGTAAGGTTAGTAAAGTCAAAATAAAATGTTTTTTGGAGTTGAAAGAAAGTTTTTAAAAGTAAAGATTGGAGAGTGAAGTATATAAAGTCAATATCCAGAAATTGTCTCTCATATGTTTCCTTCCACAAAAAAAGTTTATTATTTGATAATTTTTATTTGTTATTGATCGATAATTAAATGGTATTATATGATATTGATATTGATAGTTATATAATTATTTATTGATGATCATTATTTAATTTATTATGAACAATTAATATATGTGGTGAATTGTGTATTTAAGTTGAGTTGGAAGTTTTCTTTGCCGCAGTTCCCTCCAACATACTTGTTCAGATCTTGGTAAATAGAAAAGATTTAAATTACATTTTCAGAAACAGGTTTGATTGTTGTGTTCATTGAGAATAGAGATTGTATTGTTCTCGAATTTGTAAATTATTCTTTTCCGTTTTTCTTGCAGACTTATTACGTAAAGACATGAGACAAGGTTTTAGGGGTTTTCTATTTTCCGTACTGTGAATATGTAGAAGTTTTCTTTAACTACATTCCAAACATTTGTAATTTTCGTTGTGCGTCCTTGCTGAACTAAATTTTAAGATATGTTCTAACTTCCTAAGCTATTTTTCAGCCATATTGATTCTTCTGTCTGGGGAGTTTTCTGTGTGTATTCATTTAATTGTAGATTTTCAATTGATGTCATGCACTGTTTTGAAAATCTGAGTAACTGTTAAGTAATGCCATTTAGGGGAAGAAAAGATTCGGTATGCATTCTCACTAGTATTTTTTATTGAAATTATTCCATGGGAGTCCATTCTTGGCATATGCGACTCTTTACATTTTTTGTTAGTGTTTACACCTCAAGCAATAAAACGTTTTCAAAGTGTCTCGGGTGAAATTTCAAATACGCAAATTCATTTATTCAAAGGGCCAAATAATATAAATCTGGAAATTTTAGAATACATTTTTCTGAATGCGATTCATTCTGGCTAATATAAATTTTCTTTCCTTTCCCAGTTATTTGATCACATCGCCGAATGTCTGTTTGCATTCACCAGTGAACACAAAATAAACAAAGACAATCTACCCCTCGGATTCACGTTCAGCTTCCCCTGCGAGCAGAAAGGCCTTAGCGTCGGCATTTTGAAACAATGGACGAAGGGCTTCAGCTGCAGTGGGGTGGAAGGGGAGAACGTCGTGGCGTTACTTGAAGAGGCGATTTCAAGAAAGAAGGTGAGATACTATGCAATCAACAGAAGCATGTGTGTAAAAGTTTAAAGCAAATTTTCTTGAATTATATGATCTTTTTTATTAGTGCGGTTTAACGTGGTGTGATAAACACACATGAATCGGTTATTTTTAAAACCCAGCAAGTCAGGAACAGTTAAGTTGTGGGAAAACCAGAATAACTGAATAATTAAATACTAAGATAATTTGTCTGTTTTTTTATTTTTGATGCATAAACCTTTATTGAGAATGCAATGGAGACATGTAATTTACTTGTATCAATAGTATAATAGTCGCAGGACTTATTTAAAAGTTTATGACTCACGGGATTTAAAAAGCTACTCAGGTTTTTTTAGCTTTACATGATAATAAATACATATCACATTTTCAGTTTGTAATTTGACACATTAATTACAATGTTATATATATATATATATATATATATATATATAAATATTATGGGAAATTACAATGTGCATCTACATCAAACATGATTCATATGTTTGAAACACTTGCATTTTAATATGTTGCTATGATAGTACCTAGAAATATTTGAATATCCCTTTTAACCAACCCCAAAATCTCTGTCAGTGCTATGTTTCATACACATAGTATATAATATATATATAT